ATGATAAATAAACAATTTAATAATTTAAATGAATTCAATTTTATATGACATAAAACATAAAAATACGAATAAAATGAAAAAGAAGACGAAAAATTGATTTTTCTTCGATTTGCAGAAACAATTTTTTTGTTTTATAAAATGAATGATAAATAAACACGAATAATATTTCGATTCAACGATTATTTCAATTGATTATCGATTAGTATCATTTTAATATAAACAATCTTAAGATTATTTGATAGATTTCAAAAAAAATAAAATAAATTTAATTCATCATTTGACGAGAGCCCATTTCTTTCAAGTGTTTATTCGAATTTTAGATTCATGTATATATTATATATATATATATATTTTTTTTTTTTCTTTGAGGTTTGTTTACCCGGGCGCTCAGTCATATATATATATATAATATGATATCAATGATCAGGATGATAGCAAACTGTGTTTTTTATTTTTATATTTCATATTAGATAAATATGTTGTCGTTGAATGAAATTAATGAAAATAAATGTTGTTTTGAAAACAAAATTTAATCATTTATCTTCATCTATGATTTTGATGATCAAATATTGAACAATAAAATTAACCCCTTAAGCAGCACGCTCGAGTTTTAACTCGAGCGGCGTATTATTTTATATTTCTATGATTTTTTTACACACAAATATATAATAGAAAATTGAAAATAAGAAAGTGACGAGAGCAAAGAAAAAGAATCGTTTTTTTTTTTTTTTTTTTTTTTTCGAAAAATGTTTATTCCGAAATAGTAATTCGACAAGATAGATTAAAAAGTTGACGTACGTGTAACATTGCAATATTTGGCTCTTCTCTGCAATGTGAAACAAAATACAAAATTAACATAAAAATATTGATTATTTCTGTATTTTTTTTTTTTAATTTTTTTTTTTGTCAAAACAATGTTCAAAACTATGTTTTTATGCAAGAAAAAAAAAAAGAAAAATGATTTTTTTTTGGCCGTTTTTCTTTTTTCAAAATCAATACTGCTTAAGGGGTTAATAAAATATATTAATTTACAAAAATAAAGAAAATATTACTTTTACAGATACCTATTGTTATATAAAATTATTTTTATAAATTATTATTATTATCATTATTGTAACACATTGCGTATAAGTCAAAAGTATTCTTATGATTAATCATTCATCACTTTTATGCATTTTTTATACATTTAATCGAATCAAAAATAATTCGTAAACTAGTAATTAAATTACATTACATGTAAATCAAAATATTATTTGATTATATCAAGTTATACATATTTATATATATATATATTTACATGATAATGTTTGAACAATTTATTTCAAAAAATACTTTTACGCATTTAATTAATCATTTTGACGAGTTTAAAAAAAAAAAAAACCCAGCACGTTAATTGACGTTAAAATACGCAATGTGTTAATTGTAAGATATATAATTATTAAAAATCATCGTAAAACAATTTTTACAACGAAATTTGTTTATTAACTTTTGAAAAGTTTAATGTGAAATTATTTCAAATTTATACTTAGATTACAAATCCCTTATTTCCTTTTATTAAAATTGGCTTGACCGTTTGGGGCATATATATATATATATATATATATATATATATAAATTATATATATAAATAATATATATATAATAAATAATATATATATATAAATTCATATATACAGAGTGTCTCAATAAAATAATCCAAGCAAAATTTTAACCAACATATAACTGTGTAAAAAATAAAAAATAAAAATAATTATAATCAAATATAATTAAATATTATATTGCATATTAATAATAGTTTTCTAATAATACAAATAATATTAAATTTTTAATTAGATTAATTAAATTATTAATTAATTTAATAAATCAAAAATTTCAAAGATTTACATACATATATGCATAACATTTTTTATTTTTACACGTAGTATATGTTAGTCAAATTGTCTGGAAAATATCATTGAGATATTCCGTAATATATATATATATATATATTTTTTTTCTCTCTCTCTCTCTCACTCATTCCCTCTCACTCTCTCCTTCTTTTAATAACTTTACGTATTTCTATATAAAATCATATATTCAACTTCACTCACAAGAATATGCCGTCATTCAAGTTTCTTTTTGTTGACTGTTGATTGGCTGTTGTAAATTTCACGGGGGGTGGGGGTAAACACGTATATCATTTTTGCAAAAAACAAAAAAATGACAAGAAACAATTCTAAAAACATAAAAAGGAATTTGAACATTTTATTAACACATTTTTTGTTTTTTTTTTATTTAATATTCTCGTCGTTGTGTGTACACGCGCGACAATTAGTCCATTTTCTAAGTGTGTATATAATAATAATAATAATAATAATAATAATAATAATAATCACACGCAACATTTGCATAAAAGATATATATATATATAGATATATATATCTTTTTCACACGGTTTTTTCGCGGTCACGCACACGGGTCATTTTATGTTTTTTCCTTATCTTTTATTAATATTATTTTTTATTGTTTTTTATTTATTTATTTATTTTTTTTTCTTATTTTGTTTGTTGTTATTAATTAATCTTTATTAATTTACGTTTCTCCATCATACACACACATTATCATCATCGTCATCATACATGAGAGAGACTTCGTATCACATAATATACCATCGAGTACAACTCCTTCTTTTTTGTTGTTGTTTTTGTTTGTTATTGTTGTTGGTTGGGTTGTTTTGTTTAAACATTATTTCTATCGCAATATAGATTCTTATATATATATACACAGTATAGTAACAGTCTAGTTTTTTTCCTAAGGCTTCTAAAAACTTTCTCACTTGCGACTTGTTGTTGTGTGTGTGGTAATTTTTTTTTTAATATTTTTTTTTTCCTTCCTTGCTTTCGATTAGAGAAAGAATACAAATAGAAGAAGAAGAAGTAGAAGAAGAAGTAGAAGAACAGGTTAAGGTGATGGAAAAGGTGAGAAAGATGAAAAGGTTGATGTTCTTGTTGTTGTTGTTGATAAAAAAGAAAAAAGGAAAGAAGAAGTCAAGAAGTCAACTAAAAAAGGGGGGGACAGTGGATGATACCCCGGTGTAGTTCGAGTGGTAACGAACGGGTGAACAAAATGTTTTAGGGGATTCTTCTATCTTGCCCGGCAGACATAAGTTTTCTTAGAAGTAAATCACTTCGTAGACAGTGGCCTTCTTGTCGCCGGATCCAGTCACAATGTATTTGTCGTCGGCAGAAATGTCGCAGCTCAGCACAGACGAGGATTCTTTCGACTGAAATAAAAAAGAAATAATACAAATAATAAGATAAAATAAATAAATGGTTTGTTGTCCAATCAAGAAGATTCTTTTTAATCCTTTGAGTAGTATGGAAACACATATATAAGTTTGGTAAAAGTAACCAAAAAATGTGGGACAATGTATGTTTGTTAATATTAAATGACAAATAATGTAATATTTGATTATTTAAATTATTACATGATTATTAAACTTTAATTATATTACATATAATTTATTATTAGAATGTGGGGTTAGTAAAATATCAATAAATGAAAAAAAATACATAGATATTAATAATACAGTATTGCTTATTAAACAATTTAGGTTAGAATTACTCAAAACTCAAAGGATTGATTATTAAAATTATAATAATATTTTATGATAAATATAATAAAATAATATTTTTATAATAAACTTTATAAAAATATACTTAATTGTATTATATTAAATATATTTTAATAAATTAATTTATTATTAATATTATTAATTTGTATATAATAATATAAATATAATATTGTGAGTTGGCAAGTAAATGATTGCGGATTTTGTCGATAGGTGGCTTTTTAAAATCTGCAATATTTTAGTTACCAACCCAATATATTAGAATTTGAGATTAGTAAAATATCAATAAACAAAAGAAACCACACACCCTACTAATAAAATATTCCCTATAAAACACTTCAGATTAAGAGTACTCATCACTCAAAGGATTAATTTAATCAAAAAACCCCCCCCCCCAAAAAATAAAAGAATACAAACTTGAAATATCGATGCCCCATAAGGTGTACGCCATGCGTTGAGTAAGTTGTCCTTGCCAGTGGAAACAAACCACTTGCCACACGATGCAAAACGTAACGAAAGTACGCAAGACTCGTGAAGATGTAATTGATATTTATCCAACTTTGTTGCATTAAGAACCTCGACGTTTGAATTTTCCATGCCGACCGCTAACCATTCACCGGTTGGACAATAACCCAATGAAAATATTTGAGATGTAAAATCGTGTTGTTGTAATTGTCTTCCTTCCCTAAGATCCCATGATCTTACGGTATTGTCAAGTCCCCCGGTCCAAAGTTTCGAGCCGTCTGCCGATATGTCTATGCAAGAAGCCCCGTCCGTGTGTCCTTGAAATTGTCTGACCAACGTTTGATTCTGAAGATCCCATACCGCGATATTACCGTCGCTACAACAACTGAAACAGACTTTGGAGTCTGGGGAGATGGCCAATGCGTAACAGGCTGGCGCTGAGGAGGTCAACTCGGCCTTGATCCTTGGCGTTGGGCTGGCCAGGTCCCAGATGCTCAGTTGACTTGCCTCACCGCCTACTATCAACGTTCTACCGTCTGGCAATAATTTAACCGACCTACGGATAATAACATTTCATTTCAATACAATTCTAATAAATATTTTAACTAATCATAAGTGAACAACAACTTTGACTGACCTGATGTAATTGTCGCGTTGCAAACAATCCAATTGCGAGACAGGTTTAGCGCTAATGTTGCTACCTTGACCAATGTCCCAGACTTTGACGCACCCTTTCCCACCGGTGTAAACGTATTTTGTTGGATTGGATATCGTGACCGCGCATACGACCTCACCGTGAGTCAATGTGTTAATTTGACGCGCGTGACGAGGTATACCTGGTCCAGTTAGTGCCTCCGCGGGGAAAGATACTGGTTGCAGTTGGCCCTCGCCGTTCATATGGAAGGAATATGCTCTGAGAACAATTAATAACACTCAATTAAAATAGTTTGCCAAAAAATGAGTACATAACCTAAAAAAGGTCCAATTGGATGATGATTACGTACGGTTTGCCACCCGGAATGCTGTTCAATCCGTTACTCGAGGGTATCCTCACGTGACCGTCGAAACCGAGCTGCAAAAAAACAATCAACCTTGTGATTTATAAAATTAACAATTAAATTTATGGTTAGAATATTTGATGTTTTATTTAAACGAGATTCTATCAATTTTGTTTGTATAATTATTAATTATTTCCACCTCATACGTTTTGTTTTGGTAAAAAACAAATAACAAAACAACTGATTGGAAGGTAATGAATTTACGAGATTGATGGGATCGAAAGTCACCATGGATGGTCTGGCGTAGGGCAAGTTGTTGTAGGGCGAGGGCGACTGCGACGGCTCATTGCCGCGGGATGGCAAGCCCTGATAACCCTGTGGTGGCGTTTGCTGCGACGATGGCGGATGATAGACCCGCGATGCCAAGGGCCCAGGGATGCCGCCCATAGTTGGCGTACAACTGCGCGAGCCCCTCGCCGCCGCCACAGGTGTACCCGGTTTGTCGACCTGTATATCGTTAGTTCCGCCATATTCTTTTTTTTTGTTATTATCTTTATTCAATATACAATTAGATAATAATGCAATAAAAAGAAACCAGCGTATTTCTTCAGTTATTTATGAACTTTTATCCAGTCGATTTGTATTTTTTAGGTTATGTTTCATTATCACGTTTTTAAAAAAACCTTTTCGTTACGATCATTAATCAGTGCTCGTAATGAAAAGGTTAAATATAAAATTGTTCATAATTTTATAACAACGTATTAATAAAACATCCTGAAATTCATTTCGATATTTAATTTTTAATAATATATATGTATACATATATATAGCAAAGAGATAACCGGCTTTCTTTAATTTCTGGTGACGATCCAACGCGATGCTCGAATTAATTTGACCAACCGGAAACTAAAAATTGTAACTAGTGATAAATTTGAATTTTTATTTTAAGTGAATATCAAAGTTAGTTCTTTTGTTTGATATTATTGTTGATTTACTATTTTCATTTAGTAGAATCTCGCCTCGTAATCGTCACCGAATAAGCTTGCTCTCCGCAAGATCTTACATCTTTACTTTTCAGAGACGGCGTACTACGAGCGGAAGAACTTCCGCTTCGAGAAGGTGGTCTGTCCTTGACTGACGTTGAACCTACTCCCGATGCTGGTCCTCCAATATGGCCAGGTGCACCATGCTTTTCCAGGGTACCATTTTCTCGTGGATCCGAATGTTCCCCATTCGCATGTGGTGATGATCCTTCCTACATATTTTTTGTTTAAATTAAATTATTTATGTTTTTTTTGGGAAATTTTATTTAAACTATAACACATCTACGTTTATTGGAATTGTTTGAGGTAAAAAGAACAAGAAAGAACTGAAATATTAATCAAAACATCGACCATTTTTAATTTGATTATTTTATACTTTCTTTTTAGGAATCTTTTTTTAAATGAAAAAATTTCAAGAAAATTTATTTATATGAACGTACCTCGTTCGCTACGTCAACGACCAAGTCTTGATCACTTTTCTCCCCGTCGCTATCCTGAAAAAAAGAAAATAACAAAAGTTTAATTAAAAGAAACAAAAAACAAAAAAACATAGAAATAAAGAGAACCACAATACTAGGATAAACAAAAAAAAAGAAAAAATTTCATCAGAACGAGCCCTAATATGGGTCGATCGTTCATACGTGACATTTTCAGGGCTGACAATAAGTACGGGGGTTGTTGATCGTAATATACAGAAGGGTGTTTACAACTCTGACAACTCGTATAGCAGTCACTCTTACATATGGGTTCCCCTATTATGGGTTTGCTAGTAACGAAAGGGTTGATATTAATACATTAATGTCAAAATTATAGAAAGTCCATCATAGTGATATGTAAACATATATGTGTGTGTGTGTATGTGTGTATTTATGATGTATGTATATGTATGTATAAATGAAAGGGTTTTTGAAAGTGTTGGTAACGTCTACGCGAATGACACGACCTAGATTAAGTCGAATGTGGATGAAGTGGGGATGAAGTGGGTGGTATAGTGGGAGTTAGGGGTTGGTAAAGGGGGTAAGAAGAGAGATGACACACACAGTGGCATTTCCTTCGTAGAATGCATTATTAATTTCGATACTCGTTTCTAAGGTACATCTCGGCGCGTTCTGATTGCGCGTTAAGTTAATGGGTAAAGCATCTCGTAACGTGTGACAGAGAAAGAGATACACATACAGATAAATATACAGACAGATATATATATATACAGACAGACAGACAGATAGATAGATAGATAGATAGATAGATAGATACACAGTTTGTGTATATGCATCGTATAGTAATACCTAACAGCATGCATGGTGCGTCCTCAGTTTGCTGCGTCTAAAGCTAGCTAGCTAGCTACTCGTTGAATTTACAAGGGCCTTGCAAGTCGAAAGTGCTTTCGTAATCAAAAGCTTTAGCTAGCTAGATAGCTAGATAGCTAGATAGCTAGGTAGGTAGGTTGGTAGCTTAATATCTAGCTGGATAAAACAAACGACTATTATTCGATTTATCCTGTTCAATAAGTTTTTATTTTTTTTATTTTTTTTTCTAGATACTTTGGATAAAAAGTTTTATTACGTATAAGTTTTATTAAAGTATTATTACGATTTTATTTTATTTATTTTTTTGTCTATATATTTTGGATAAAATTCTATCTATAAGAATAATAAAAGAGGTTAGGTTTCGAAAATAGAATTAAAAGGAAAAAATAATGGAAAGATACAATTCTAATTGTAAGTATTATTAGTATTATTATATTTATTTTTTATTTATATACTTTGAATAAAAATCTATACATCAGAATAAAAAAAGAGGTTATGTTTCCAAAATAGAATTAAAAATAACAAATAATTGAAAAAACTAATTCTATTTGCAAGTATTATCAGTATAATTGTCAAATAATCAGTCAAATAATTGAAACGAACAATTTCTAGTATTATTTTGATTATTATTATTATTATTATTAAATATTCTTTTATGCTGGTGTAAAGTGAAAACTCATAGAAAGAGAGGAATGATGATTAAGATTAAAAGCAGTAAAAAAAAAAAAAAATAAAAGAAAGAAATGAGAGGGTTGATATGATGTGAAGATAGATACTGGGGATAGACGTGAGTGGGAATGAGGGAAAGGAAAGGGGAAGGGAAAGGAAGGGATGAAGGGAAGGTTTAGAACGAACGATTAGCTCGGGTTATAGGAATCGTAATTGCGAAGCGATATGGTTATTGAGGGTAAAAAGGGAAAAGGGAATGAAGGTGGCGAGATTGTTGGTGGTGAGTAGTAGTAGTAGTAATAGTAATACTAGTAGTAGTAGGGAGAAGAATGAAGAGGATAGAATTGAGGAAGAGGAAAACGAGGATGATGACGATGAAAAGAAGAAGAGAAGAAGAGAAGAAGAAGAAGAAGAAGAAAGAGAGAAAAGGGCAAGAGAGGGGAAGTGGAGGGTGGGGTTAGTAAAGGAATAAGAGTTGGAAAAGTGAAGAGAGTTAGAGGGTTAGGTTAGGGGGTGAAGAGTAGGTAGGAGAAGGAGGAAAGTCCGTTCGAGCTGCCAGGGACAAGCAATAAATTTGTGTACGGACGATGAGTCTCGGGGTAAATAGAAGGCAAAGTGTGGTGGTGGTGGTATTGATTTCAGTGGTATTACTCGGCCGATGGAGGAGAGTGGCCAGGAATGGGGAAGGGGAGACGAAGAAAGAGAAACGGTGGCGGTGGGAAGATGAGGAGGAGGAGGAGGAAGAAGAAGAGGGTGTCTTCCACCCCTTAACCTGCTCGTTCTAGCGTTAAATATGATACAAATGTTATCATCCCTTCTATTCCGTATCCCCACCACTTAAAACTCGGGTTTTCCTCGGCACGAATCTACAACCACCACCTACTACTACTACTACTAGTGCAAATACTACTACTACTATTACTAGAACACTTCAATGTTACTATGACTGGTAGTATAGCAGGGATGCTACTATTACTATTACTACTACTACTACTATTTTGAAGAGTATCGCCCAGTATAAAGGTACCACACTACCACTAGCCCAACAACCTTCCCCTTAGGCAGCTTCTTCTTCCCTCGTTTAACCCGACGCAACGGGGATGACGGTATTAAGGGCAGCTCTATTATTCGACCGCCCAACCACTCGACTCTTCGCCTCGAGAATCCTCGAATTTCTCTTTTTTCCTTTTTTTTTTCTCTTCTACTAGTTCGCGTCATCCTCCCTTTCTCTCTCTCTCTCTTTCTCTCTTTCATCCCTTCTTTTTATATATATATATATATATATATATTTCTTTCTTTCTCTTTCGTCTCTCATCTTCTCGCTGTTCCAACGTTCTTTTATTTACTTCTACTTTTTCTCGAGCACATACACGTACACACACACATACACATATACATTATTCTCACTGTCGAGTTTTTCTCTTACAACACTATGAGGGGTGGGATGGTGGAGGAGGAGGAGGAGGTTTCCATCCCTTTTCCTTCCTTCAAACCTCTCGACGGATCTTTTGTAAACAAACGCTCGGCGCGCGAGAGGCTAAGAGGAATCGAACGATCTTCGAACTCTGCTACTACTCTTTCTCTCCTTTCTCTTCGAACCCCCTCCTCATCGTCGTCATCACCCCCTTTCACCACCAACCCCTCTTACTCTTATACTTTTCTTTCTTATCTTTTCTCTGTCATTTTTCTTATTCTTACCTTAGAGTTCTTTTATTTGTGAGGGGTTGGGGAGTGAGAAGAATAAAAATACAAACCACACACACACACATATTTAGGTATCTTGTTAAAATGTGTGAGAGTACAAAATGCGACGGTAATTAAGAGTATTATCTGTTAGTGAAATCTTTGCAGTATCAAAGTGAGAAACATGAAATTCTTCTTTCTTTCTCTTTCTTTTTCTTGTAAACCTGGTTGGTTCAATATAAACCCTAAGAAAGGAGAAGAATCGTTCTTGCGTGTACGATAAGATTTGCGAGGTACTTTAGGAAACAACTCGTCCAAAAAAAATAAATATATATATATATATATATATATATATATTGCGAAGAAGATTAAATATGCGATAGTGAGGCCCTTTATTTATCTGCCTACCTTAGTACCTTCCAAGAATGATGATAAGGGTTAACCATTGCACTGATAGTAACAAAGTATTACAAATTTTACTTTGTACAAGTGTGAAAGAGATTAATGATCTGTTAATGTTATTATTATTATTATTATTATTATTAGAAAAAGTCCTTTGATATTACTGCTAGTATTCTTTTAGTTACTTTTCTTTTATTATTGCTACAACTGTTGCATTTATTACTTTCTTACTATTATTGGTTTTATTACTAGCACTATAATCTCAACCATTATTAAATTACTAACATTATTGTTAGTATAATTATAACAAATACTTTTGATATTACTACAACTACTATTACATTTTTAATTATTTTTATTAACACTACTACTACTACTACTACCACAGTTATATCTATTACTTTCTTAGTATTATCTTTGTTATTACTATCACTATAGTCTCTACCATCATTGATCTAGTAACATTATTATTACTATAATTATAACAAATAATTTTGATATTACTACTACTATTACTACTATCAATGTTATATCTATTATTTTCTTACTATTAATGTTGTTATTACTACCACTATACAATCACTACTATCACTACTGTAATCATTGATCTACTAACATTATAATTACTATAATTATAACAAATACTTTTAATATTACTATGACTACTACTACTATCACATTTTAAATTCTTTTTATAAAAACTACTACTACTACCACTGTTATATTTATTACATTTTTACTATTATCATTATTATTAATACAACTAAATAATCACTATACTACTACTAGAGTCATTACCATTACTGTTACAAATACTTTTACTACTACTACTACTTCTATCACATTTTAAATCCTTTTGATTAAAACTACTACTACTACTACTACTGTTATATCTATTACATTTTTACTATTATCATTGTTATTACTACAACTATATAATCACTACTACTACTACAATCATTACCATTACTATTACAAACACTTTTACTACTACTACTACTATTCCAAGTAAAACTAGTTATATTACAATAACTACTACTATTACTATCTTCATTCCTTTTGTGTTTCGCAGCAGAAGCGCTGGTGAAAACGTATTAAAGCGATTATCTCGGATGAAGAAGATATAGTGGTGAGGGTTGAGCATAGGAAAAGGGGGTAAAGGTGGAGGTGTAGGTGTAGGTGTAGGTGAAAGAAGAAGGAAAAGAGAAAGAGAGAAAGAGAAAGAGAAAGAGAAAGAGAAAGAGGGTAAAGAGGAGAGAGGGTGGACGTTGACGAAAGGCTGGAAGGTTGGGGGGGTTCTTCTTGACGGCAAAAACGGGTTGTAGACACGGAGAACAATGGAGATAGGAACGAGCTTTCTGGAGTGAGGGGAAATAATGAAAAGTGCTCGCGATAACGCGCCTGTGTCGTATTAAAGTACGGCAAAACCACCA